TATATCATTATTGCTATTATTATCTTTATCATTATTAATATTAATATTAGCTTCCACTTAGCAATGGAAATTGTGGCCTCCATTGTAGCCTGTAAAACCACGGGCAGCACCCACAGTCACATAATCCTTTTTTTTTTTAACACAGCGTATCGTCAGGGCATCTCATTTACAGCAAAGCAAAGAAAGAACAAAAAGGAATATTAACATATAGTAATAGTGTAACAGAATAGTTTTAACTAGATTTCTCTTTATCTTAGCTTATTTGTAGTTCTGTTGGTTATATTGGCATACTAGCTCGATACCCGTGCTTTGCCACGAAACTATGTGGTCGGGCTTAGTTTTCGCAGGAGGAAAATAAGGGGAAGAAAATTCTGCCTCTGCCTACCAGCATCCATTGGTATTCACCTGGGTAGCGTCCTGTCAGTGTGTGAGAGAGTTGAGGGCTGTTTGGAAAGTGAAACAGTATTTGCTGTGTGAGCGTGAAGGAGACAGTAAGGAGCCTGGGCACGGCTTAGCTCAACTGTTCTGTAAAAACAAAACTGAAACTGAAAATCCTCTCCTCTGCTTGTGTTTTGCATTTGGAAGAGATTTCTTTTCAGGTGGGGAGGGGGAGTAGAACTCCTTAGCATCAGAGCGTGTTAATAATAATAATAATATAGGAAATATTCTAAATGCTCTGATGGTCATTTTGAAAAATCCTTTCTTAGTGAGCACCTAGAAGCCAAGAGGAACATAGGGGCCAAATTTCAAGGTTGTAGGCTTTACAGTTCTGGAGATTTTGTGATGATGCGTGAGGGGTATTTCACTTTTATAGATATATATAATTTATAATTATAAACCTTCTTTATATTTAGTTCATACATAGCAATCATCTTTCTTCATCTAATTTTCACCTCTTATCTCTAACCACTCATAAAATCTATTCCGTGTTAAGTAATAGTCTGTATCTTCTTTGTCCTTTGTTTTTAATGTCAATCTATCCGTCTCTGCACAATCCAATATTTTCCGAACTACATCCTCATCTGATGGAGTGCCACAGTCACATAATCCTGATTTACAACATTTTTGCCGAAAACGACATTGACTTCTGGTTTTAAAAGTGCTCCGGACTGTGAAGTTCAGTGAACAAGTACAGTATGCATTCTATGACATCCGTGTTTGCTGAATTTTTGGTCATTAAAGGATCATAAAATCAAGTCGATCACGTGGTAGGCCACTTTGCAATTGTCATGACTTACAACCGTAATGGGCAAAGACTCCGTTAAGGTCATAATCTGAGGACTACTGAACTCAGGTGAGACTCTGGGATACAAGGGTGTAACGCGGGCCTTTGCATAATCCTTGCCTGCGTGTTTTGGTGTCAGGCTGGTTTGCCGTGAATGCCAAGATACGGCCCAATTGAGCCGTCCAAGGAAAACAGGCGACAAGGAACTTCATTTTTCCTTGAACTGGGTTAGTGAATGAACCCATTGTCTGGATGCTCTCGAACCTCCCCTTTGCCAACACCGCGCTTTCTCTGCCTGCCTAAAAGGAGAAGTTTGTCTGAACCCTCCCCTTGCGAACCAGGCTAAGAATGGGGTTCACAAGGATTAGGCACGGACGAGCAGTTAGTACATCACTCGTTTTTAATCATTGCATTTTAAACAAGGCGCCCTTTCTGCGTTGCCTGTGGAAGAAGAGGAAACAAGAAATGATGGAAGGAAAGAAGAGAGGGAGGGAAAGGATGGAGAGGGGAGGAGAGGGGGGGAGAAGAGAAGGGTAAGGAAAGGGAAGGAAAGGAAGGGAAAGGAAAGGAAGGGAAGGGAAGGGAAGGGAAGAAAGAAAGAAAGAAAGAAAGAAAGAAAGAAAGAAAGAAAGAAAGAAAGAAAGAAAGAAAGAAAGAAAGAAAGAAAGAAAGAAAGAAAGAGGAAAGGAAAGGAAAGGAAAGGAAGGGAAGGGAAGGGAAGGAAGAAAGGAAAGGAAAGGAAGGGAAGGGAAGGGAAAGGAAGGGAAAGAAGGGAAGAAGGAAAGGAGAGGAGGAAGGGAAGGGAGGGAAGGAAGAGAAGAAGGAATGGAGAGGAGGGAAGAGAAGGGAAGGAAGAAAGGAAAGGAAAGGAAAAGAAAGGAAAGGAAAGGAAAGGAAGATAGAAGGAAAAATGGAAGGGAAGAGATGGGAAGGAAAGGAAGATAGAAGGAAGAAGGGGATGACAGGGAAGAGAAAGGAAGGGAAAGAAAAGAAAGAAAGATAGAAGGAAGAAGGGGAGAGAAGAGAAGGGGAAGAGAAGGGAAGTGAATGAAAGGAAAGGAAAGGAAGATAGAAGGAAGAAGGGAAGGAAACAGAAGGGAAGGAAAGGGAAAAAGGAGAATCTGCACTGCTGAGGATGTCAGTCTGACTGCTGCCAGTCTTGTGGTGCACAAAGTGGCTGACCACAGGTGTCTGTGAGATCCATCAGGGCGCCATACCTGAGATTTGTCCAGCAATCAGAATTCCAAGCGTCACGGCAAACCCGAAGGCCAAGTTGACTGTCAGGAAGCGGGCGTGAGTCCCTCTGCTGAGCACGAGTTGGGCCACCGAACCACAGCCGAACATCTGAAAAGAAGGAAGAAACTCGGTGATGTCCAGATTTGAAGCCTCGGGAAAGCAGGGGCTAGACTAGAAGACCTCCAAGGTCCCAGCTCTATGCAATCCTAACTAGCCCAAATAAAAATGTAATTTGGGGGCAAGTTCTTATTGCAAAATGTGACACCTAAGTTCCTACAGGTGGTCCTTGGGTTACGACCGATTCCCCCCAGCGACCATTCAAACTTACAACAGTACCTCCCCTCCAACAGTACTTATGATCCGAAGTTATGACAGCTGCCTTCCCCGTGGTCATGTGACCGAGGAGGTTCAGTTTCAAATTCACAGCAGCAACCAGCTTTAGTCCAGAACAGTTGAGCTAAGCCACGCCCAGGCTCCTTGCTGTCTCCTTCTTGCTCACACAGCAAATACTCTTTCAGTTTCCAAACAGCCCTCAACTCTCTCACACACTGACAGGACGCTAGCCAAATAAATACCAATGGATGCTGGTAGGCAGAGGCACCCCCTTATTTTCCTCCCCCAAAACTAAGTCCGACCACTTGGTTTCGTAGCGAAGCACGGATATCGAGCTAGAATCTGATATTTATTTTAAAGCAAGCAATAGAATGTATGTAGATAGTCCTTGACTTACAACACTTAATTCGGTGACCATTCAAAAATACAATGGCTGCCAGGATTCCAGCAGTTACCCCCATTTAAATCCTGAGTCTCGAGCCAAATTCCAAAGGATTTATTGGGAGTTAACACGTCCAGCACTGCCTGGGTGTAGCCGACTCTGAGACACATTATGCATTGTCACCCTCGACCCTGGTTTTCCCTCCACCCCTCTGGGTATATCCTAATTCATATTCTCCAATGGGACACGTCCATAGCCCAGAGTCATCAATCATGCTTTCCAGTTAGAATTTTGCACGGCAGAAACTTTGCTCGCTAGTTACTAGCTTTGAAAACATTTATGGAATGCACTTTCGATTTCCAAGCTGCCGCACTGCTCCCCGCTCCCTTTCTGTTGGCAAGTCTTAAAAAAAAAAAAAACCATAGAAATATTTTATGAGTTGACATTGGCACTGAAAAAGTGACTCATGACCGGGTTTTTTGGCCCTTATGCTATTTCCAGCATACCCATGGTCACGCGATCAACATTTCTGATACTTGGCAACTGAGTCATGTTTATGACGGTGTCCCCTGGGTCACGGGATCCCCCTTTTACGACCGTCTGAGGAGCCAAGTTCGATGCGTACGCCGGATTCATGTAACAACTGTGTGGTTCATTGAACAGCTGCATTGATTCACTAAACAACGGTGTCCAGGAAGGGTCATACAATGGAGCCAAATTCACTGACCCACCATCTCACTTAGCCATAGAATTATTGTGCTCCATTGTAGTCAAAAGGTCTACCCACAAAGGATTTACGGAGAGTTTTTAAGTAACTAAGAAAGTGGGGGGGAGTTTCCATTTTATTTCAGGTTCTTATGCAATCAAAGTCTTGTTTGCTCTCAGGTTACTTTCTTCCTCCTCCTCCTTCTGACCAGGAGATTAAATTTCACTCCTTGTAGCAGAGGATTTTAAAAAATAGCTGTTTGTCCTTGAGCTTTAAACAAAAAAAAAAAAGGACTTTGAATCATATTCTTTTTGCCGTTTATTATGTCAGACGATAATCTTATTTGAAAGAAAATAAGATTATTGTCTGACATAATACATAGCAAAAAGAATGTGATAAAGGACTTCCTTGTACAAGGCGTGGACAGGATAAGATTTCCCGTGGGCGCCCTTCCATACGTTTGACTTTGGTGCAACAGCGATGACAACAAGGCCCAGTTGGGCTGGACGGAAAACTGCCAAAGAAGCTTAGTTAATCAAAGCTGTCGTGTATCAGGCTGTCAAAAAACAATGGTTGTGCAATCTGAGAAAGGCTAAAGAAGAATGGCGTGCACAATTGAGCAATAAATCAAAGGTGGGTGCAAACTTGAAATCTGGAAAAGGGCCGAGACTGAAATCGTACAGAGCTGAATAACGAGAGCTGGAAGGGACCTTGGAGGTCTTCTAGTCCAACCCAATGCTCAGGCAGGAAACCCTATACCCGTGAGGGTGAACCAAGGTGGCACGCAGAGTCATTTGTGTGGGCACGTGAGCTCCAGCCAAACTTAACTGCACATCACATGCATGCGCTTCTCAGATAATTTTTGGCCCGTTTGAGGCCGTTTTTGTCCTCCCGGAGGCTCGAGGGAAGCCTCTGCAGCCTCAGGAGGCCGAAAAACGGGCCTTCTGGAAATACTGGAAGTGTCACAACAGGGGCGTTTTTCGGCCTCCTGAGGCTGCAGAGGCTTCCCTCGAGCCTCCGGGAGGACAAAAACGGCCTCGAACAGGCCCAAGATCAGCTGGGAGGCATGCGCCTGCGCAGTGCAGATAAGAGGGTGTGGAGAGGGTATTGCGCGTGCAAGCGCAGGGGGGAACGGGACACATTGCATTGTGAGTGCCGGCATGCGCACACACGCTATCACGCGCACAGACACTTTCGGCACGCCGCAACAAAAAGATTCGCCATCACTGGCCTATATCATTTCAGACAAAGGGCTGTCCAATCTGTTCTTTAAAATCTGTACTGTTGAACAGTAGTGGGATTCACTACCAGTTCTGCACTCAAAGATCGCCTTCCGTGAGGGGAGCTGTTTTTTTAGCTCCGCTGAGGCAAATCAACTCAGCTAAAAAATCAATAGAATATAGGATGAGAAAAGGAGGCCAGTCAGAGGTGGGTTTTGCTGGTTCTCCAAACTGGTCCAAAATTTCTTCTACCAGTATGCCAGAACCAGTCCGAACCAGCTGAATATCACCTCTGGTGTTGAAGCACCCACAACTTCTGGTGGCAAGCAGTTCCACTGGTTGATTGTCCTCACTGTCACAGCTCTAGGTTGCTTCTCTCTCCTTGATTAGTTTCCATTTACTGTCTTCTTGTCCTGCCTTCAGGCGCTTTGGAGAATAGGTTGACCCCTTCCTCTTCTTTGGGGCAGCCCTCAAATATCGGCAAACTGCTATCATGTCACCCCTAATCTTTCTCCTTGTTAGGCTAGTCATATCTTGCAACGGTTCTTCATATATTTTAGCCTTCAGCCCTCTAATCATCTCAGTTGCTCTTCTCTGCACTTTTTCCCCCCTCCGAAGTCTTAACTTCTTTTTTTATAATATGGTAACCAAAACTGGATGCAGTTGTCCAGGCGTGGCCTTACTATCTATCTTCTATCTAGGTTCTATCTTGGCCTATAATTCATTCCTCCCTATCCTAATGAATTCACTGCCTTCCTCTTGATCTGCTGCTTTACAAAATGCACATCAATGCACCAAGTCCCGCACTGCGAGTAGGTTTTGCCCAAGTGCCTGGGAAGTTAGTCTCTTCCCTTTTTCTGTGCCATCTTCACTTGGAAATCTTTTCAGGACCTTTTTACAACGTAAGAAAGAGAATCTCCTTGGGAAGCCATTGCTACGTTCAACGCTCCGATTATGCATTGTTAAATGGGCCAAAACAGAGGTGGTATTCAGCAGGTTCTGACCAGTTCTGAAGAACCGGTAGCGGAAATTTTGAGTAGTTCGGAGAACCGGCAAATCCCGTCTCTGACTGGCCCCGCCCCATCTATTCTCCACCTCCCGAGTCCCAGTTGATTGGCTGGGTATTTAGTTGCCCTGAACAGGAGAATGGAGCTGGAAAGCAGGTTAGTGGGGAAGGAATGGGATTTTGCAGTAATCTTGCCCTACCACGCCCACCAAGCCACGCCCTGATAGTAAAAATTTTTGAATCTCACCACTGGGCCAAAGGGTTTTTGTTTTTTTAAAAAAAGTTGGCCTGTGGCAGGAAAATAAAAATCAGTCCTGCTTCTTCAGGTCTCAACTCCGTGTTAGTTTTATGCTCAGGTGGTCCTTAGAGACCAATTAAAAGAACGTGTCGATCCTGGGTTCAAACAAAGTTATACTATATCCATTTACCCAGCTCCCTGGAAAAGGCTAGGAAAGAATGTCATTTCTGCACTCCTCAGCGGCTCGTGCCTTTTTTGACTCCAATTTCTTTGTCTCCCAGGATGCAAACTTTCATAGTATCCATCCCTGAGACAGCCAGGGGTGGGATTCTACAGATTTGCACCTATTCGCTAGAACCGGTTGTTAACATTCTAAGCAGTTTGGAGAACCGGTTGTTAGAAGAAATTACTGGCCTAATCCTGTAAGGAAGGCAGGAAGGAAACATTCTGGTGTTGCTTACAGAAACTGCCTCTCCGTTAACTCTTATTATATTCTTGGCAGGACTAGATTTCCTGTCTCACAGAAACGTCTCTGGAGTCCCGTTCCCCCCCCCCCCCGCCACTCCTTTGCTGGTACTTTGCTTGTCTGGAGTGACCATTCAAAGTTACTCTGGCACTGAAAAAAGTGACTTGTGACCATTTTTCACACTTACGACTATTGCACCATCCCCACAGTCACGAGAGGCCAGACGCAGAGAATACATGTTCTTGCACAGGAACAGGAAGCTCAAGTGCAAAGCCCAAGAGAAGGTATAAAAACCCAGCCACTCTCAACTCTACGTGGTCAGCTGCCCAGAATCACCCATGTGCTTCCGCTTCATCATTAAGCCATCTTTCCAATCAGAGCCTCCATTTTGTCTCCATTTTGTCTTCCAGCCTCCATTTTGTCTCCGGGGCTTTTGTTCCTGTTTGGAACTGAACCAGATGGATATTTCTTCCAACATCTTCAAGGTTTTAGCTCAGGGGTGTCCAACCTTGGGCAACTTTTCAAGACCGGTGGGTTTCAACTCCAGATGTCAACCTGTGGAGTTGAAAGTCCAGAGGTCTTAAAAAGTTGCCAAGGTTGTCCAACCTTGCTGTAGCCCAGCCCAATTCGGATTCTCTAGCACGTTCTCCACCCATTAGGTATCCCGTTGCTGTTGTTCTGTTAAGCGCCCAAACGAAGCAAAATCAAGAGTCACCCAAGAGTTGGCTAAGCCAGTCACAAAGCAAACGTTGGGTCC